TGTTGTAGATAGTTACTCCTGCTGCTACTATGACAGCCACAGAAGCTGCACGGAGCCTGGAACAATAGCCTCCTCCAGAAACAGCACTGTCTAAAGCAGAGATTAAGTAAATAAGTTCTGATGATGGTGGTGGAATTGCATCCAACGAGAGCTCTTTGTCTCTCTGAAACCAGGGTCTTTTATCACCCAGTTAGTTAATATTGACCATAAAGCTTCACCCAAAACATGGTCCAATGGATAGGGCATATTACAGTTCAAAAAGGAGGGAGAAAACTGCCTGAAATTGCCTTGAGGTGGCTTGGAGGGTGCATTGTTCAGATTCTTTGACTCTCTGGTCCCATTATTACAGGGTCTAGTGTTCTACTCCAGAGCACAACACTTGAAATTCGGGCAAATGCTGCTTCCTTTTCTATATATATCAGGAAAAGAGAACAGCTGGAAATTAGTCTTTGGGCTGGGGTCCTAGCTCAATGTCATAACACAGAACCCAGCTTCTTAAAACATGGGCAATGACTTTGCATGGCAGCAAGAAACTGATTGTAGGGTGGGCGTGGGTTGTAAAAATTTGGCAACAGTGCAAACTTTCTGAATAGACCATGAAGAAATATTGATTTGAAGTCAAATCCATGATGAATCTAAGATGATTCTGGCATGGCTAGACCGTGCTGCATCAGTGATGTTACATAGTGTTAGTTCTGACCAAGTGACATGTACACTTTGCACTTCGTACTCTGCCACACAGTATGACATCAATGATGCTTCCTGGACACCATGGATAGGGTTTAAGACTAGCACATGCTGTGAAGTGCCTTTTCTGTGCATATAAAAGTTTCTGTTCTCATAGGAACACTCTTTAACCACAGATAACAGAGATGTCTACTGTGCTCCATCCACCACTCTGCCCTAAGTAAGCAACAAGTTAGTACATCTCTGGGTTGTACTACACTCAAAGGTTTGATTTTTAAGAATCATTGTCTGATTCGCTGGCTTGAATTTCATTAAAAGTCATTCAGTGAATTTGGCTTAGGATTAGGATAGAATTTCCAATCACTTTGGAAACAACCCTAAACATACTTCTGACATTTTGTGGTACATATTTATGTGAAGTAGTGTTCTCAGCACTGATGATTGGAAAACAAAAGTCAACTCTGAAAAACACTGAAGATGGCCTAGATCTCACAGAATCAAATATTCAGCCAAGATTCACTTCTTCATAGAAAGATATGTATGCTCAATTTCATTTTTAAATAGACGGTAAGGTTATTTGTATAATGAAGAATTGCTTTATGATAAATTTCTTGGTAATTCATTCTCAATACATGTTGGAATTTTGTACCTATTTTATATTCCTAAATATCCATGATCACATAAAAATTTCATGGGTGGAAAGGGGTCATGGATGATAAAAGTTTAGAAACACAAGCACATAGCGTTGTGTAGTGAGAGATCGAACTACACACCTGTAGCCCTGACCATGCCCGTTTGGGTGTGGTCACAGGTGTGTACATGAACGTGTGGGGTTTGTCCTGGAGTCTGGGACAGGCTTGCTCTCTCTTCCTTCTGGTTGGGTCACAGGGAGCAGCCTGGGAGGATCCTTGGAGCTGGAGCTTGTGGCCATCATCCCCCTCTTCTGTAAATGCATTCTCCCCAAATAAATGCCACTTAACCTATACTGAGTCTAGTGAATCTTGATCCCACTCAGCAGCCGGTGATTCCATTCCAAGCAGCTTAGGAATTATCATAGCAGAGATGTAGCACTGTTAGATGCCATGGCTCTCTGAGGTTGTTAAAATAGTTTAACTATGTTTCTATGGAAGCCATTCTCCTTAATTTGTAGCAGAAGGGGTCCTGGCTGGGATTGTGAGTGGTGGGTAAAAGAGTACTTTGGAACCTTGCATCTGGGGACATGGCACCTGATGCCCAAATGTGATTAGTACAGGAGCCCCAGAAAAAGATATACCCCAGAGTCTATGCTATCTCTGTCTTTAGTGATGACATTCCAAAAATGAGACTGTATGTACAAAGTATGTTTCCTGTTACTTCACATAGGAAAAAAATGTATGCCTGATTCATTTAAGATAACAAGTTGAGTTGGTATAATAAACTGCTTACATTGTTTTCCTTCTGCAAAGCAAGGTGTTAGATATGCCCAAAATCATACAACCTAAGAGATCCCCGATACCCTACATTCAAGCAAGGACTTGGAAACTATACTCATGATCTCACCATATGATCAAGGCAGTCAGGAATGCTGCCTGTCAGAGAAGTATCAACCTATAGAGGGCTCCGTGATGCGTCCCCTCGCCTCCCCATGGAAGACTCTCTACTGAAGACAGCCCGGAAAATCGGCCTTGTAGTGCAAACGGAATTGAATGATTTTAATTAGAGTGGTTGTTGAGGAATGCCAAACTGTCTTCACAACCCAATATCCATGTACCATTTGATACTTGTCATGTTCAGCTCAAAGGGAATGATTGTTTCCACAGCTTATCACTATGTTGAGGAAAACAAGATTAGGAAGAAAACTCGAGTTTTACCTTTTAACCACAAAACTTGAAAGAAGCCTAAGTTGCAGTGTCAAGCTTCTTGTGTCAATCTCAAGTTTCCAGTACCCATTGTGAGGCTGGAGATACAACCGTGTTGAAAGGGAAGCTGCCATACGTGTTTGCTAGTGGGAAGTGTGTCTAGTACCTTTATGTAAGATTACATTTTAATTATCTTGAGTTCAGAATTATTTTCATTTTAAGATGAGGAAATAAGCCTGTTATATAGTGTAGCAGGTCTGCCATTTACTCAGCATCATCTGAACACAGAGTTTGTCCTCTGTTCATAGACCTGAATCCTACATGTGTAGCATATAAGCAAGTCCTTCCACATAAAAACTGTGCGACAAAGACATCAAATTTATACCTTTCTAAAGACTGCCACTGTCAGGCTAAACTCTTCTCTGTATCCCCAGCCTTTATTGAGATCACTTTCTTCATGCCCCCTCTCCGATGCTCAGGTAGGACTGGCCAATGGCCATGCCACAGCTTAAGAAATCAAGAAATTTGAGACTTTGGGGACAAGGGTACATAATAAAGAGTCATATCTGTGTTGGTGGTAAAGGAGGTGTGCACAATTGCTTTTCAGAAAGACACAAATGTCCTTTCTCCCCTCCATTCCCATTCTAGTTTGACTCTGTGTGGGGATCAGGCTTGGCCATGAAGACACAGACAAGGCCCAAAGGAATGAGAGAGCAAAAGATCATTGCTACTTAGAAGGAAAACACCCACCGTCTGAAACACCGGCCCTGGGCAAGAACTTCCTGCAACTGGCTGTGAGCCATTATAGTCTAGATTCCATTGGTGGCAGCATTTTAAATCTCCAAGTATTAAAAACATTTATAGAGGCTGCAGATCTTGACCATCCATCCTGGAGAATGAAGGGCCAAGATAGGACCACAGATTTCACCTAGCTCCTGCCACCTCAGAGCATGCCAAATGTTTTTTCTCTCTATGTCACATGGGGCGGGGTTATCGGATCCTTCCTGAAATGCATGCTGGTGGGTCTAGATTTTCAAAGTAGACACTTGGTAGACAGGCCCCAGTATTCCAAGGTAGGAGATATCGATGTGCCAGAGACCGGCTGATGCATGTGGGGGGTGCTGAGGGAAGAAAGTAAACAGGCATATGCATATGCTATTCCAACCCCATTGAACATCAGTTATAAACAGGCTTCATGTTCAATCAGTTCTCTCTGAATCTGGGGATACATAATATCCAGAAACTAGTTAGGTATCTAGATGATGATTGAGAAGCTGAACCAAATCTGTATTAAAAGTCCTAGGCCTAGTGCCTCAGAATATGACTGTAAATGGAAACTGGACCTTTAAGAAAGGAATGCAGACAACTTATGACTGTTTGGATATGCCCTTATAGGAATAGGCTACTGGGTACAGACACACACAGGAAGGTGCCATGTGAAGACACAGGGAGGAAATTGGCCATCAGAAAGTCCCCAGCTTGGAGAAACTGACATAATGCAACCTTGATCTTGAATGTGTAGACTCCATAGCTGTGGGAAAATAAATTTCGATTGTTTAAGCGTTTGAGTGTGAGGTACTTTTTATGACATCCCAAACAAGCTAATACAGTGACCTATTACAAAAGCTGTGCAAGCATTTGGAAAGAGCTGATACTGAGGTTGGGGATCTAGCTCAGTGGTCAAGCCCTTCCAGGAAGGAACTGTTATTGGCAGCAAAGACAAGAGGGGGAAAAAAGGCAAGAACATTAGGGGAAAAAAAAAAAGAAAATACAAGAGGTTAACGTCTCCAAACTCAGTAGAATAGACCATACATGATATCCTGAATGACATGTAGATGTCAGTACCGTAAACTGCCTGTTCAGTATCTTATATTATGATCATATTGACGTTAGACTATTAAACCACTCCTCTTCGTTAAATCGATGTGCATTCAAAACATTAAACTTTTTCACTGTCCTGCTTAAGAACCAAATAGTCTAAACGCTCATGAATATGTAAATCAACCCCTCTAAGCACATTATTAATTATTTGGAAGACAGTTGGAGGTCACCAGCTCACACCAATTTCTATGCTTGAAGTCTCATTAACACAAGACATCACACAGTGAGAGAGAATAAAGTTTATCATGGTTACTAAATGTGTGTGTGTGTGGGGGGGGCTGCGTGTGAATATACATACAAAATAACATTCAGCACCGAGTCCAGGGCCATGAGGCCCCAAATGAAATGTGCATCATCCAGGATAATGGTGGTGGCTGAGGAACACAATCTGTGTCAGAGAGTGTCCAGGTGTGCCAAACCCTAAGCAAAGAGGGCTGTGAGCAGGACAAGAATGCCCACCAACTACTGCTCCCGGCAGGAGGCAGCCTGAAGCCAGGTTATACATTAACAGAGCCACACCCCTTATCTAGAGAAAAGTGACTGCTACATATCCCCAGTTGCCTGTGCCCGGCTTCCCGTCTTTGCCGTGTAGCTCAGATCACATATTGACTAAACTTGATTCCTGGCAGTGCAGGACCTCCTTTCCTTGGGGGAACCTTTAATAATGGACACCTTGAGTTTTACATCCTCCTCATCTTCATCTTCTGACTCTGCACCTTCCTCTACAGCTACTAGGTGCTGTCCACTAATGTGCACAGGCCCTGAACCGCACCTCAACCGTAAGGCCACAGGTGGTGTAATTTCAAAGCCACCAAGGGAAACTGTTGGTTGTACGGACATTTTCAAAGTTGCCAGTGTTATTTTAATTGGACTGCCTTCATAGTTCATTGCTTCTGCCTCTACCATGTGTAATTTATCTTTTGCCCCTGCCCCTAAACTAACCATTTTTAGTGACAACTGGTGTTCATTCTCATCATTATCCACCTTAAAGTGATAATCTTTGTCAGCTTTTAGTTCACAACCGAAAAGGTAGTTCTGTGGCCTAAGAGGGCTCATGTCAATGTCCATCGAGTCTTCCATCAGGTGGAGACATGCACTTCGGTGTGCGAGATATCGGACGGAGGAAACTGCCTACTGCTCCTCAGAACAGACACGCAGGACAGAATCTGGCAAGCGATCTGCCCCTGGAGGTGGTAGCAAAGTTCCACAGAAAAAAGTAAAAATCGATGAAGATGGCCTAAGAGGGCTCATGTCAATGTCCATCGAGTCTTCCATCAGGTGGAGACATGCACTTCGGTGTGCGAGATATCGGACGGAGGAAACTGCCTACTGCTCCTCAGAACAGACACGCAGGACAGAATCTGGCAAGCGATCTGCCCCTGGAGGTGGTAGCAAAGTTCCACAGAAAAAAGTAAAAATCGATGAAGATGAGGAGGAGGATGATGATGAAGATGATGATGAAGAAGATGATGATGATTTTGATGATGAAGAAACTGAGAAAAAGTTCCAGTGAAGAAATCTGTATGAGATACCCCAGCCAAAAATGCACAAAAATCAAACCAAAATGGAAAAGACTTAAAACCATCAACACCAAGATCAAAAGGTCAAGAGTCCTTCAAAAAAAACAGAAAAAAAAACCCTCCTAAAACCCCCAAAGGACCTAGTTCTGTAGAAGACATTAAGGCAAAAATGCAAGCAAGTATAGAAAAAGGTGGTTCTCTTCCCAAAGTGGAAGCCAAGTTCATTAATTATGTGAAGAATTGCTTCCAGATGACTGACCAGGAGGCTATTCAAGATCTCTGGCAGTGGAGGAAGTCTCTTTAAGAAAATGATTTAACTCTTTAAGAAAATGACAGGAGGCTATTCAAGATCTCTGGCAGTGGAGGAAGTCTCTTTAAGAAAATGATTTAACAGTTTGAAATACTCCGTCTTACTTAATTTCTGTAACAGTTGATATATCTGGCTGTCCTTTTTATAATGCAAAGTGAAAACTTTCCCTACTTTGTTTGATAAATGTTGTCCAGGTTCTATGCCAAGAATGTGTTGTCTAAAATGCCTGTTTAGTTTTCAAGGATGGAACCCCACCCTTTACTTGGTTTTAAGTATGTATGGAGTGTTATGAGAGGACACAGTAATAGTGGTGGTCAGATGTGGAAATGGCAGGGAGACAAAAATATACATGTGAGATAAACTCAGTATTTTAATAAAGTAAAAAAAAAAAAAAAAAAAAAAAGGACCCCTTTTTTTTTGCTTTGTCTGGCAGGAATGAAGCCTGCTTTGGATCCCTGCAGCACTTCTTGCAGTGGTATTTGGGAAATCTTTCCTTAAAGGTGGATCAGAAATCTCACTTTCTCTCCTCCCTCCCCCAAACCTAACAACCCACAGAGCAATTAAAAATGAACCAGTGGATCTGAGTCAGCAAGTGTGTGTATTTAAAAATCTAAAGCAAATTGTGCCTCAAACACACCTAAGTTTTTTCCACCTACAGGGTATAAATGAGCCCAACTTTGTTTCTGAACAAACTTGTGACAGCATGCAAAAATGTGTAGCCTGTGAAGACAAAGCATGCACTGCATTTCCTGAGGCCCCAGAGGCTGGAGAGTGTGCCATACACCAGGTGCATACCATCGCATGCCTCTAAGCATCTCCTCGGCTACACTATGTGGGCCATAGCTCAGGAGCTTCCCAGCCACTAAGGTGCTCTGATCTAAGCTATGGGGTGGGCTGGAGCTGCTGAGGGTGGGGGTTCCCTCAGGACTGAGGCTATGACAGTAGACAGCAGTACAGGTGAGAAGGGGGCATGAGACAGGCTGTGAGCTAGGCTTCTTAAATGTCGTCAGCACCAGACACCAATGGCTATGTGATCTCCTGTCAACCACACAATGCTTGTTGGCCACTACTAACAGTTTGCTCTTATACTTTTGCCTGTATGCTCAAATATAGATGACAACTGAGGCAAGAAGAGAAATGCACAAAGCCAGCACCTGGTGCAATAATAAAATTTATAAAATTCAACTAGGAATGAAATCTATGAATGTTGGGTAGGGTGCATCTTAGCATTCAGGCATCTGTACTGGCCTGTCCTTGGGGTTCTGACAGGATATGCACTCAGCTGCAGCCACTAAGAGCACCACCTGTGCGCAGTCTTTATGTTCCCTTTTAAAAGGGCCCTGCCCACCTCCCATCCTTCTCTCTCTCTCTCTCTCTCTCTGTCTGTTAGACCTTCTCTCTCCCCCTCTTTCTTCTCTCTCCCTGTCTTTCCTTTCTCCTCTCTCCTGCTGCCCCTGTCTCCGGAGGCTGGTCACCCCCTTTCCCTTTTCACTTTATACAACCCCTTTCCCTAATTATATAAAAAAACCCTCTGCTCAAACCCTGTCCCATGGTGTCTTTTACTGGCACGACACTTGGCACTTTTCTTAAATTACAACAGTGCACATCACAGCTCGGCGACCAGGAACACCACCGGAAATGGCAGTATTCTGGGGAAGGCAGTTTAGTAAAAACCTATCTAGGACCAAGCTGGAAGCTTAAAGCTTTGTAACCCCAGCTATTTAGGTGTATGCACATGGATGGTGACACTGTAAGAAATGCCATTGGATGATTCACAAGCAGAAAGAAGGCAGATGTGTCGGGGGAGGTCACATGGGAACTGCAGGCAATGTTCCTACTCTTGATCTGGGGGTGGTTGCCAAAGCTTCCTATCACCATCCATGTTCTTAACTACACACACGTGTGTGTTTGAGGCATGTGCACTGCATGTGGCTTGCCATACACTGCATGTTATATAAAACCACTTAAAAAAAACTGGCTCAACGGTCAGTTAGTGTCCACTGACTGCTGCTGTAATCTTTAGGCTTCAGAAGAGTTCTCTCTAGACTGATAATGTCTAATGTAGAGATTCAAAGTTGGGCTGAATCACAAAGTAGGGTAAAAGACACAGCAGGAAAGCGCCCCAAAACAACTCCTGCACCTATCCCAAGCTGTCACAGGCATCTGTCCAGAGCTCCTTGGATAAGTAATGAACTCACTGTTCCCCTAGCACAACCAAGCAGAATAGTCTCCTTAAGAGTACTTATTTTTAGCCAGGTGCAGTGGCACACACCTTTTATCCCAGCACTCCAGAGGCAGAGGCAGGTGGATTCCTGTGAGTTGGAGGTCAGCCTGGACTACATAGTGAGTTTCAGGACAGCCTGGGCTGTGTAGAGAAACTGTCTCAAAAGCAAAACAAACAAACAAAAAAGGAGTGTTTACTTTTAGCCATGTGAGACACCAAAGGGAAGGAAAAATAACAAGAAAAGGCGTTTGGAACAGAGATATTCCAGCAAATTGAGAATCGGCCAGTTTCACAGAGGCATGGAGAAATCGTTCTTTGTAACACACTAAAGACCGGTATATGCTTCAAACGAACATAAAAGTTTGCTGGAGCTTCCGTGGTAGGATTTCTATAAAGGCAGCAATTGCAGGGCCAGATAGATGGCCAGACAGACAGGCCCTTGTTGATGTAGCTGAATGAGCTACATCATCAGTTTGCCCTACATCTCTCTTTCTGGTCCTTGTCTGTGTACCAGTCACTCCTTATAATGAAGTAACTTGATGGAGTGTTGCTTCTGCTGTGGGCAGGGAGAGGAGTGCAGGAAGAGCACGTGATGAAGTGTGCTTTTTGCCAGACTCTGCACCCTGCTGGGACTGCTCTGCTTGCAGCCCTATTTGTGCTCACTCTTGGGCACACACTGGTCTCTGTCTCCCAAGTCCCCCTCAGGCCTCCGGGTACACGGTGTACTTAACACGTGCATCCAAGGATCTGGGCTGTGCTGTGGGAACATGGGAGGAAGTGGTATAGTCCACCACCTGACCACTGCCTCACCTGTGTGGCTTATGGGCAGCACTCCTGTGCCAACTGCCCATGACTTAGTAGGCGTTTGAATTTCTGAAGATGAACCATGAGATAGCAGAAATCACCACGGTGTCTCTGAGTAGTGCTGTAGGGCAGAGGTCCCACAGTCAGCCACCATGTGGAAGGGAACTTTGGCCATGCAAAGCCATTGAGTTTGGGGGATAGCTTTATTTATAGAAGGTAGACTAGTCTTCATCTATACTACCCCAGGCTTCTAAATAAAAAGAAAACCATCAAAACTTCTTTATCTTTTGAGTAATTTAGCAGTTTTGATGGTTTAATTTCAAGGCAGAAGGAATACTGATTTTGGTTAAAGAGAAGAGAAGAAAAGGTAATGGTTTGTTGGTTGGTGTATTTCCCCCATTTTCCAATGTGGTTTTAGGAATCATATTGATTTAATTCCCTGTATATATCTGGGAGAACAACACTTAAAAGCCAGAAAACAATTCTTTGTATTACACATTGTGTATAGCATCCTCACTGAAACCCAGGCTTCTTATCTCTAAAGATGTCAGGAGTACATTAGCATCTCAAAAGAACTGTCTGACTCATGCTGCAATACCTTGAACAAAGACCCTGAGGACCCTAGAAGACTGTGGATGTGATGGTTGGTTGGTCTTCTCTGCAATATGGCTTTTTCTTCCACGGGTGACATAGCCATCCCATTGCCATTTTGGAATAGAGTCCTTGGCCCAGTGGTAACAGTGAAAGGACTAATAGAGTGACAATCTGGCCTACAGTAGTAGTAATAGAGCTACTGGGTTCTCTAGGAGATGGTGAAGCAGGTCTTAGGGTTCCAGCCACTACTCCCTCAAACTCTCCACTAGGTGCTAGCGGTGATGGGAAATTCTACAGTGTTCAGGAAGTAGGTTTACTGAAAGAGGGACTCTATCACAAAGTTTCCTTGAGGTTACCATCCATGCTAGGGGAGCACAGCTGTTAGGGGTGACACATGTTTCTGTAAATAGTCCCCCACCCGTGCTCAATATATAACCTAAAAAATACTCATTGGCTCACCGAGTCAGAATTTGTTGGACCCCTTACTTCAGTCTGTCATCCGGGCTCTATCTATTGTGATCAGATTGTTTGTTGGTATCTCCCCAGGAAAAGTTCACACAACAATCTTCCTGTCACTTTGATGGGACTGAGAAACACACTTGTGTGAATGATTCTAGAGATGGTGAAGGAAGGAGGAAGACGTGCTTTAAAGGTGGGCACCATCCAAGAATGGGGCTGGGCACCCTGAGGGAATGCAGGGGGAAACAGGAGGAAGCTCTACAGCACAG